TGTGACTTGATTTACTTATTGTTAATCTCCAATCCTTCTAATGCAAAAACAACTTTTCGAAAAAAACCTTTAGCTACTTAAAATAAACTGTTACCTAGATATGAGATTACCTACGTGTTCAGGTAAGTACTCAACATAATACAGATTCTGATTTAATTGATTCATTATCAAAATATGAGTATTTACAATGTCAATTCATCGTACGCAATACTTATTTAGCTCCCTAATATTTTCTTATAATAGGAAATTATTATGCATTTCTTTAAGCCAATAGGCAGTAGGTCCAAAACTCCATTGGAATGCCGATAGACCGGGAGGGAGCGCGATTTATAGACATTTCAACTAAACGAAAACAAAAAAGTATTTTTAAACATTATTTAATAGTTTTTTTGTACCCACTTCTTCCTCACCTTTTAGGCTATACGGGGTTTTTAGTGGTTCGGAGGATTGAAGCCAGAGTTAAGAGATCCTCCGTCACCGAACCGCGGACTTGTAACGGTCTTATCATATTAGTATCTGTTTATCTCGTTTCCGTTCTGGGAAACGGGATAACCGATCTATGAGGAAAAAACTCGATATTTATCTAATTTATATACCCTGTATAGAGGGAAAAATATGGAAATACATAAGAAACAACAATAAAATAATATATATATAGATATAAAATGAATATGCAATTGTATGAAAACTATACTTGACAATAATGGATCCATTACAGACCTGGGCAAAATAATTTTAAAATACAGTATTGAAAATAGTAAGTATTTTATGTTTTTAAAATATAGTGTATTTTTATTAAAAAGTATTTAAATTGTTTTGAGAAAAAATGTCTCAATCAAATAACAAAAGTATTTTGTATTTTAATTAAAAAAGAATAAGATATAAATATAAATTACATACTTCTCATAAAATGGCGCTTTACAATAATATCTAAAAAAAGTGGGTTTGTTCTGGCAAGAAAAGGAGTTATGAGATCAGAGGAGAATTGATATACTTTTAAGATATTAAATCATTTTATTCAACTAATATTATTTCTGGACAATTTATAATAAAAGTGACGCCTGATTAAATATTTAATTTCAAATATTCTCTAAGGTGTGACATAAATTAAATCCTTTATTTCTCTTTCCTGAAAATTGCTTACAAAAATCATGCATTTTCCCAATCAAACATCAAATATTTCACTTCTTATTTTACACAAGTTACACCGAGTTTAATCAAAATCATTGGAACCGTGTTTGAGAAAATTGCAAAAATGTGTAAAATCGATTATATAAAATGGAACTTTCGTTTAGCTGATTTTAAGGAAAAAGTGGCTGCAACATCCCAAGCATATACTTAACTTAAATATGAATTTAGTTTCGTACAGCTTTTAGTTTTTGAGCTAGACTGTCCACACACAGTCGAGTACATAAACACACACACATACCATTTTGTTGGACTTGGTTATTGGACTCAGAGAGAGGAGATTTCGGGCTGATCATCATTTCGAATAGGCAGTTAGTTTCTTTCTTTTTCCTCCTAAATAATTATCGTTATATTAAAAAAAAAACAAGCTTTCCGGCTGAAGCTCTCCAAAAAGAAATCCTAAATCTGCTGGTGTTTGGACTCACAGGACCTTAAAACATGTATTTCCGTTGAAAACACGAGATTCGAAAATTTTCATTATCGCAATATTCCCCCTTAATATATATTACATATATAGGAAAGTGAAAGCAAAAACAATACAGATCCAAAAAACCTATTTTATATTTTTCTTCTTAAAATGCTAAATACGAAAAATGATTTTATTTGAAATACTACTCAGGTTTGATCCAATACTTCAATTGCAGCTGGGTTGTGACTTAACTGAGAATAGTGCGGTGGATCATTTAAGTCTTTAATTTTATTTATCTTACTTCCAGCATAGTAGTCTTCAGATCATTTAACAGGGTGAGCAATATTCAAAGAAGTATTTAGAGTAGTTCTTTAATAGAAGCACTCAAATTTTATTGTATTGTACAACCGAAAATTACAAAGACTATATAAAACACATCGTAAAGACTAATTTAACATATTCTTGTCATTTTGTTTTAATTTTTATCTCTGCCAATTTGAGATAATTTTCCAACCCAGCAAAAGAGATATGTTTTCCAATTCGAATGTTTGCCAAATAACATTAATTATTGGCTATATATCAGTAGGATTTTTCCAAATGCTGCACAACTCCCTTATTTTAACAGATTTTTTTAAAAATATATAATAATGTCTTAAAAGACAACCAACTCTCATTTTTGTTTAATATACCTACTTAGTGACAGCTGAGAAAAATTTCACAGAGGCATCTCTAGGTACATTTGAGTAAATTAATTCAGAAGTTATAAAATTATGTTATTTTAGAGCATGTAGAAATGAATAAGTTAATAGGTCTAACTATGAATTGATAATTTTATGAATGACTTACTTAAATACAAGGCCTCTATCCCTAAAAAAAATTAACAAGTGGTATTGAGCTCAAATAAAAGATAATATAATAATTGAACAAAACACGACCTGTCTAATCAGTAATTGTATATAGGGTCTCGTACTTTTCTTTGGGCACAGCTAAATTCAAAACAATTTATGATTATCTTCTAATTAAAGTACTGTTTTATCTTATTATGTTGGATTTGAAAAGTTTCACTATTAGGTTAAATTAAAAGCACCTGTAGCTGAGTGTACCAATACCTGACATCTTCCTCGAAAAACGGAAACAATAAAATTTCAGGACATCCTAGACCTCTATTTCATATATTTTCTTCTTGTATATTTGTCTGCTTTGCTTTAGTCTTGCTGGAAATAGCAACCGAAATAATAAGTGGCAAATTAGGAAGGTCCACTTAGTGCCCCAGAAACAACCATCTGTCAGACGGGCATTATATTAAAAATACCTTAGGTTTACTTTTTTTTCAATATTTAAAAATATTGTATTTAATTGTAATATTGTAAAGTATTAAAAATACCTTAGGTTTACCTTTTTTTTTCAATATTTAAGTTTTTACACATAAAAGGCATAAGACAATTTTTTGAGCATGTCAGCTACTGGTGAATTTATCCTAATTTTATCCACCTACATCGGACATACTATGCAGCAGTGCTATGCACACACATTAGTCCCCTAGACCACCCTGCTACCTATTTACTAGTTCATTGTAATGCTCTGATTAGTTATGTTTAAGAGGGAGTTTGAAAATAATGGGAGAAAGAGGTGCCTCCCTAAGGAATAGGGACAAGCTTTATATTACTCAGCTTATTTCTAAATAATTAGAACTCAGATTGGTTACCCTATTTACTTCTCTAATATTTGTTTATAATTTCAAGTATTTAAAATAATCTTTCCTTTTTGTTACAGTAACAAGTATCCACGATTGAACATAACACCAGGAGTTACGAGCTGCAAACTGAACAAGGGAGTAGAAATAGTGGACAAGAAGGCGAAAAAACTAGAGTGAAACTAAATGGTAATCGTGATTAATTAAGATAATAAATCAATATTATTATTTATAGGTTACATAATGAATTTTTATTTTAAATTTAGATGTTGCTGAATTTTCAGACGTCTGACACCATGTAAGCCCGAAAAATTTATATCCTTAAAAGCATTATTGTTACTGCAATAACTGTTAACAGGATTTTAATGGCCACTTCATATAGTTTATATTTCTTCTAAAGTAATTACTATAAGAGAAAAAAAAATCAAGAATTCCTTTATTGTCAAGTCCAACAACTTCCACTATCTATCCATCTTCTCCTTAATTTTGGCTCTAACAATAATAAAATATATATTGCAATATACACCTTAATTGAAAGTGGTGAAAAATTATTAAATAAAATAAAATGGCTGTTCTGTAGTTTTCCCAGAAAGGAAACATAGGATTTTGTTTTGGAATGTTGTTTGTGTTTGGCTGGGGTGAAGAGAGAATGGAAGAAGGGATCTTGGGTCCAATGTGTAAAACCCAGTAATAGTATTACTATCTTGGAAGTTTTTGTTTAACAGAGAGAATAGTTGTTTGGAATCAAAAGAGAGAGGATATCCCATGAAGCTTGAGTTGAGTAGAAGAGCATGTCACCATTTTGGAAGATGTGTTTGGCAGATCATAGGAAAATGATAGAAGATAAATGAATTTAGTTCAACAAAGGAAGAAATAGTATATACAGAAAAAAGGCTAGCTTCCAATTCATACTTGACTTTTAGAATAAATTTATTTTAAAATCAGTGTTTAGTGTAGTTAATGTTAGTCTGTCTGAGTATTTTGATCTGATTGTCAGCAGCCCATATCTGATACAATAATTATAAATTTCAATTTAATATATTAATACTCTTATAATTTTGTTTATTATCCAACGACCCCTTATTTATTTAGGAAGTATTCCAAAAGTATAAAGTGATCTTCCACGAGGCCATATTACTAGTTATAAAATATAAGAGATGTTACAATATGTTAGGTTTCTCTTTTGAATAATCTTTGGCTTTTAAAAGTTTATCATTAGAAAAGTTTAAAACAATCTTCGGATTGTATGTTAAATTAATAGATAAAAAAAATTTAGTTTCTTATGTCCAGTGGGTTGATGTGAAAAGTTCCTACCTGTGTTACTGTGATTTTATGTTTTTCAATTCTGGTTAGAACTAGTGATATGTATAAATAGCATAGTTTTACTGCAGAAGGTCACAAATTACACAATATCTGTCAATTCTGATCATATTCATCAATTCACAAAAAATTCACTCTGTTATAAGTCAAAGTGCATAATGTTAAGATTTCACAGAAGGCAAATTCACCAAACCAAACCACTTGTAATTTAAATTTATAAAATGATTCTTAATGACTTCTCACAACAATCCGGCAATATATATATATATATATATATATATCCTTTTAAAAGACAAAGAAATAATTAAGTAACATAATTTTAAAAACGTTTTATAAAAAAAATATTACTGAATTTGAAAAGGTACAGAAAACACAATTTTACAACCAAATATAATTCAGATACTTTTAATCACAAAATAATTTATAAAATATGTTTCATGTGTAAAAAAGTTTTTTAAAATCTATAGTAAAAAAAACACATAAAAACATTTTTATAAGACATAAAATGTATCATAGAACTCATTTTGCCAACTTTCTGCAAAAGTGGGTATTATAATGAAACAAAACAATAAATTTCACACTACTAATTATTTTATACTGCATTTCACAATTAAGAAGGTATTCATATTTTAATTGCTCCAGTTATTTTATTTCTGCATCATGTCAAAACATATTCTTTCATAAATCTACCATGGAATGCTTAAGATATGTATACATTTTTTAATGAAAACATAAATTGTTAAGAAAAAAAAATGATATCCCTATTTTTTTACAATCTCTTCTGAACCTTTATAACTGAATTTCAAGCATTCCCACATATTTATGAAAAAGCCACTTAAATATAGACATCTTAAATAATGAGAAAATTATTTATTTTGAAGAAATGTTTAAATCATTATATTTATTTTTAACCAATAAATGAAAATATGACTTCTAATTATTGGCCTTGTATTTTAAGCTGTTATTTTCAATGAAGAAGCTATAAAGAATATAATTATTTAAGAATGTATAACACTCAAGTGGAAATTAAAAATCATATTAGTGAATTAATTGTCATTTCTATATCCATTAGTTTATTGAATACAAATTAATATAAAGACTTCAATGTTTCTTTAATACTGATCTCTCCCATTTCTCTAACTTTATATTAGGCTATAAATAACAATTATGATGAGCTGTTAACACTATCTATCTGATAGTTTAGTAATCTATACATCATATCTGCACTAAATGATGCATTTTTAATAATCATAGTATGAACACGTGTAAGACGCTGTTCATTATTGAAAAAAAAAAAAATCTAAAAATGGTCTGATAAATGTCAAAATTTTTTTTCTTTCTTCATCCTGAAAGGTTATTAAGAATATAGGAGTTAATTAAGATATAGGAATTATTGGCAGCTCACAGTTGATATTCATAACCTTGTATAATTCTAATTAAAATAAGAATTCCCTTTTACTGTCTTTACACGTTGGGCAATTCGATTCAGATAAAGCATTGTCAAGAGAATAAAATATATGGCTGTTTTTTTTACATTTCATCCAACTCTCTTTATGAAGAGTCAGAGGGTAGTATTTCTCAAAAATTGATAAAAATTTACTTGAAAGTAACTGTAAATTTATTTCAAAATTTGAATCAATTTGTTTTATTAAAGAGACAATATTCTTTTGTCTATCCTCATTAAACTCTTCCATCCCACATGCTGAGTTCCATGCTTCATCAAGATATACTGTTTTGACGGGTTCATTATTATTTTTTCTCTTCTCTTTAATTTCTTTGATTTTACAAATAACAATTAATCTGAAGAGTTCATCTTTAAATTGATAAATCTGATCTCTGCTTATACCATTTTCCCATTTCTTTAAAGATGATGCTAGATAGTTTAACCTTGAAAGATGATCTGAATCATTTATCTGGTTGGTTTGCTGAAGCAAGTGAAACGCTTCACTGATATAATAAGAAACAAAGAGTAATGACCTCAAAGTTTCAATGCAGGTCTCCTCGTTCTGTTTTAATAATATTGTTTTAACTGATTCAATAATACCATTTAACAGCAGTTTCAACTCTTCAAAATCATAAACTAAAAAGAAAAAAAATAATATTTATTTCTTTGATATAATACATGATTATAAGTAAAAGTTCAAAATGTTAACTTTCATTGAAGAAAATATAAGGAGTTGGACTGAGAGACATAGAAGCAATTATAAATATATTTTTCAACAGAACTGTTTTACGATAGCATAGACCAGGGGTCCTGAAACTTTTTGGTCTGTGGACATTACGCATTGAGAGCTATATTCAAGTCCCGTGGGCCATGGGCTCCTGATGAAACAGAAAATCTTGTTTAAAAATGACACTTTAATTGTGAAATGAACTTTTTATGAGAAACAACACATCCAATAATTGTTACAATAAGCTAGTGTGTGAGTAATTTGCTAAATTTCGTAATTTTAATCAAAGAAACTTTTGGCAAGATTGGTGTAGCTTGCAGGCTGGATTTGGCCTTTGGGTCATAGTTTGGAGACCCCTGGCATAAAAAATCAATTTTACATTACTTGTTAACAGACATGTTTAAACTTGTTTCAAATCCACGACTTTCTTTAAATTATTTTATTACTTGTTGCTTGATAAATTAAAATTTATAAACACATATCCTGACAATGAGATTAGTGGGACTATATTTTTAAAAAAATTACTTACACTTGAATTTTAGTAGTTTGTGTAATCTACTTAATAAAGATTTTGTATCAAGTACTAAACCTTTTACATTATTATACTTGTTCAAGAGTTTTTTCCTAATTTGGGGAAATAAAACAAACCACTGCTTTGTATAATATCTGAAAAATATCAACAATAGTTAAAAAAATGTATAAATATAAATAATTACTTAATGCCTGCCATAAACTTAAATATAGGCATGTATTTAACTTGTTATTATGACTAGTTAAAGTTTCTCTTTTATTTATATATGTATATATTTATTTTTTAGTATTATTGTTTTTCTGTTATTAAATTTAATTTATTTTTATTTATTATACATTTAGTGTGAATGAAGTACTGTATCACTATTATAAGTCTAATTCATTGTGACAAAATGTTATAAATTTCAATAAAGAAATTAAAAGAAAAAGGTTAATAGTAATTATTACTATGATAATTGCTATATTTATGTTATATATATATATATATTATTATTATTATTATTATTTTGTGAATAAAGAGGATTGACCTGATTTTGAAACCAATAGTCTAAATTAAACTGTATGATTTACTATGTTTATATTAAGCAAAAAGTATTAATAAAATAAGTAGACAAATAAATAAAGAAAAGAAGTATTAAAGAAAATAATTAATTATACCTAACATAATGTGAAGAAGTTTGAGGTTTTTGGCACCTCGGACAAAGAAATAACCCGAGTGTTGTTTTTATCGAAGCTAAAAATTCATTTTTAGATATATAATGACCACAGTCTTCTAATAATATATATCTGAAAAAAATATAAACAAAACTATAATTACTTACTTTGTAACAGTCCTTCAGAGACTAAAACAAATAAATGTTGAAGTTTTGTTTTAATAAATTGTAATATTAATGGACATAACCGTAATTTAAAACCATTTCTCCTCCAAAAGCAATATATAGGACATCAGTGGACTCAATTATTATAATGCATCTTTTAAAGATATAGATAAACATTTCACTAGGGCAGGATTAAAAAAATCTTATATAATTTAAATTTATAATACTCACTTCGATTTAGAATTATTATTATTTTCAGGAGTACATGTGATGCAGACTAAGGGGCATGGTTCCCCACAAAACCCATTACAAGTATGTCCGCATGGCAATAGTTTTTTGCAAGGAGCTTCACAAACAGGTCTATTACACTTTTCCCAACAAAGTTTGGAACACTGAAAATGTTCACATCGCCATTCACATTGTTGCTGTAAAATATAATACAGTAAATGTTAAAATATCAAAAAAGAATAAAACAATTAATACTAATGTTAAACTAAGGTTAATTAGGAAACCAGTTAATTAAAAAAAAGTTTCGTTAGAATTTTTTAAAAAGTAATAATTGTTTCAATTAAGAATATAAAGTTCTAGATAACATGTTAAATACAAAGAAATCTTAATTACAGGAAAGAAAATAAATATTAGCTAAGAAGTGATAAGGAAAGATCATGTATGAACTATGTTACACTTTGGTTATGATGTGTGATAATTGGTTAAGAAAATAAACTATTGTTTAAAAAATAAATAAAATATATTATGTAAGGCTCTACTTACCTTGCACTTTTGACAGGGCTGACTACATTTATTTTTACAAGTTTGATGTTTACAAATATTTAAACACTTTTTATCACACAAATGAATACCAGAACTGCAATTATTGGAACACCTATAAAAAAAAAAAAAAATGAACTAATTAACCAATTATGTCTTAACATGAATGGTATCCTTAATTTTTTTAATCGTTTCACAAGAGAAAGAAAGGAGCTGTTGATGTTCGAAGTGTTAAAATACTGACTACTTTACTGATCCATCCTGCAGATCTTAGCTAGTTGAGTGGAACTTTTTTTTTTTTTTGTTTGGGCTACTCCTCACTATTTCTGGCTTATGGAGGGAAGGTCGAGATTCATTCTGTGGTTCTCCCTTGAAATGAATTTTAACTCGCCCAGGCCAGATTTGAAATGGCGTCACTAGACAGGTGAATGCTAAAACGGACAATGCTCAGCCATCACGACCTCTGTTGAGAGGAATTAACTAAGCGTAACCAATTTTAATTTTCAAACATTAATTTATAAAAATTAACGGACATGTTCATTAAATTACAGTTCATATACCTGTGTTTTACCTGACAATGGTTTAGATGCAAGTTTGAGAATTTTTCAAACCTAATTTTTATCTTTTTTTATGTATAACTGACTAAATGCTATTGTTAATACAAAGTGAGATACACTTTGTTATAACACCCAGACCTAATTTGGCTCATTAGACACAAAGAATGAGATAAACATTAGATTTGAAAACACAAAACCGAAAAATCAGGACTTGAAATGGAAAAAAAAATTTATTTTCAAAGTTTAGTTATCAGTGGAATTTTTATTGCCAATATTTTTTTCAATTCTTTTGTAACTAGAACATTTTACCCTTGCAATTTTTCAAGTAAAGGTTTCACAACGGTTTTATTTTTAAAAATGTTTATTTAAAAGTTCTGTCAATTTCGCTAACAACTTAATCTAAATACACATTATAATCATGCATAATTTATTTAAGACAAATTATAACTCTAATCTAAGCCCAATTACTGCTTATTTTCAATTAAACAGAACTTTTTTTATAAAACTTGAATAAATGCAAATAAAAATTAAGAGCAATATTAGAGAAACTTGTTTCCCCGTATATAATTAATATATTATCAAGAAAATCTATTCTATTTACAATTGACGCCCGACAGATTATTTACAATATACAGAATGTAATGTTTAAGAAGTTCCTAATTTTGTGAACCTATTTTTTGATTTTTAATATATTTTTTTAAATTATGTAACTGTGTTTTACTCAATAAATATATTTAAAGACTCATCTCATATCTTTTTCTTTTAGTATAATGAGAAATTTGTTGGTATTTTTGATCAGTAAATTGACTTAGTGAAGTGGATCTCACAGAACCGTAGCGACATTCAATGTGATTCTGATACTAACGACCTTTGGAGTGTTAATTTAACAAGTTAAACAAATAGAATCCATAAAGTTATATTGATTCAGCATCGTAATTGCTGAGAGCTATTGGATTGGTCAAGAAGAGCACGATTAATATTCTGCAGTTTCCTCACTTTATAATATAATATTAGGAAGTGTACAAGGAAAGTGAGCTGTTCTCCTTTTTTTACCTCATCGATTACCACAGACTATAATAGATATTTTAATTTTTAAAAATCTTAATAATATATAAGAATTTATCAAAATTAGGGAGCTATAATTAGAGAGTGTTTCTTTAAAACTGTAAATTTTAGGGCCTTAAAAAGCAGAGCTTGGTTGGTTCTATAAGAGTATTCTGGCTTGATCTTGAAGTCTGCTACAAAAGGTTTTCATAAAGCCAATCTGTTCCATCCCATTCCGCCTACATACTAGCATCGGAGTATTGTGTAATGCACACCTTTATTGGAAGTGAGTAAAAAGGGTTCAATAAATTAATATTGAAAAATTTAAAGGCAAGCTAATCTAGTTCTACTAGTGCAGGGAAAAGAAAATGGCTCTCTGTAGTTTCCCAAGAAGGAAAATCCAAAAGAGGAGAGGAACAAAGATTTTTGTTTTGGCAAGCAGTTGTTGTGTGACTGTAGTGAGGAGAGGATAGGAGAAGGGGTCCTGGCTTCAGTGGGTAAAACCAAGACATAGTATTACCATTTCAGAAGTTGTTGTTTGGCAGAGAGACTAGTTGTTTGGAATTACAAGAGAGAGGATCTACCAGGGAGCTTGAGTTGAGTAGAAGAAAGTGTCACTATTTTGGAAGTTGTGTGTAGCAGAACATTGGAAAGCATTTGAAGACAAATAAATTTGGTGCAAAGGAAGAAATAGCATCTATAGAAAAAAGGTTAGCTTGCCACTCCATTTTGATTTGATTTTAAAATCAAACAGTATTTAGTATGGTTAATGTTAGTTTGTCTCAGTGTTTTGATCTGATTGTCAGTAACCCACACCTGAGATAAATAAATATATTATTACTCTTATAATTTTGTTTATTATTTGATAACCTCTTATTCATTTAGGAAGTATCCCAATGGTAGAAAGTGTACCAATAAAGGTGTACATTACAATATATAATACGGAACTATAACTATTGTAAATGTCAATATAAATTTAAATTCAGAACACTCAATGATAAACTTAAAGTCAGAACACTTACACATGTCCGCATAATAATACTGCTCCACATGCCACCACACATGCTTCATGAATGCGGCCTTGCAAACATTTTCCACAAGTTCCTCCACACTGATGACCACATTTCAAAATGGACTTGCAGAGTGTTTCACAGTTGAAGCTACCAGGGTTTGTTTTAATATCTAATACATAAATAATACTATTCAGATAGACATTTATAAGGTGAAAGATAATGATAAATGAACAGTTAATAAAATGTGCATTCAAATAAATAAAGAATTAGAATTGAATGAAAATGAGAAAATGCTTTATTGTGCAACTTCTAAACTTAATATAAAATATTTAATAAAATAATATTGCAACAGAAAGTACAATAGTAATTATTAAATTTTGGTAAATATAAAATATGTTTTATTTATTACTACGGGGTTGATCGTAGCATAATTTTGAGAAAAGAGATGGTCTAGGGTAGCAGTCATAAATCATTTATCATCCCAGACCATCTTTTTCCTTAAAAAAAAATTTTTTTTTTTATAATTGTCTCTCATCTGAAAGATTATTGCATAATAATGGCTATGATCTGTGCTGAATGGTAAGAGAGATAGACTAAGACAAATGTATTATGGCTGATTTGGTAGGGGTTTGGGTGGTGACTGGTGAAGGGAGGTGTATAGACAGAGATTGGTCGTCGAACTTTCTTATTATTATTGATGATTATGATCTTTCCATTAAACTAATTTTTTATTCATCTTTCTTACTAAAAAAAGCATCTATCTTACTAAATGGGTAAAAAACAGTATAGTGGCAATTAAATATAAATAAATAGACAAAAATATACAAATGTATAGCTATTTTTCTCTAATCTCTAACACACTTCTAGTAACAAATAATATGTGAGTTGTACTTCAGATATTTTCCTGATTTTTTGGTGTCTCATGAAGGCTAAAGTATTTTATTTTTTTTAATCTAACTTGTCTGATTCTGTAAGCAGAGTGACTGAATCTATACAATCATTGTTTGCAATTAAAAAAATTATTTGTTATACAAATCTGTTTGTAAGAGTATGCTGTTATAATGCTTCCCACTACCAATCTAATTTGGACTTTCTACAAACCTGTAAATAACCTACAGGAAGTTAATTTTAAATAATTAAGTTTTGGCGCTAATAGTGAATAGCCATCTGCTTTTATATCTGGGCTTAAGATTATTTACACTCGTGAATTATTAAAACAAAACCCCGGCACTGGATATCGACTTTTTGAGGGTGTTTAACTGTGATTGGGAATTCGGGAATCTATTACCTTTTGTGACACTGTGTGAGAAGAAACAATAAGAATATATATATGAAATGTGGGACTTAGTAAACACTTTGAATGAATTCACTCACCTGGTTTATTCTTCAATTGTGAGGCCTATAGGACAACTAAATAAAAGGACTATTCACTCCGGTATAATAAAACAATTTATTTTGACAATTGATAATAAATGAATATATATAAGTGAACGGTTGGATAATAAATGAATATATATAAGTGAACGGTCGGCTTGATAATCTTAGTCTTCAATGTAGTAAGCCTCTCTTCCTAGATGACGTCTTCTTGTGTTGGTGTCCAGGCCTAAAGTGTTTGGCGTCGTCCTCGCCATCTGTTGCCAGCTACCTGATCGGACCTTTTCTTCTTTTCGATTGTTTATCGATGTGAGATTTTCCAATGAGCAATTTGTCCACTGCACAATTGAGTACAATTCACAGTGCAATCTCACATTCCTATATATTATATATACCTTCTCATTCCCTCGCACATTGTCATCTAAAGGAGTAAATACAGGGGGATGTCTACTACAAACCCCATCTGTGGAATACCTTAGCCTCTTTTATTTCACCATCAAAATACTGTTAAGATACCATTTAAACAGGAAGAGTGAAAATACTACTTAACGCATCAGAGGGTTGAGCGCATAATATTGAGTTTAACATATTATTGACCAGGCACAACTAAAAGTTGCTTATCTTTTAAAAAATAATCAAGTACTTTAAATATCTTTTAAACAATAATCAGTAACATATCTTTTAAAAATAATCAGTAAAGCGTACAATCGCCTGTTGCAAAGTTAAGCGTCGAGCGATTACCCTTGGTAGCTAGTTGAACTGACTAAGCCATAATGAAAATATCAGCACAATGGTTCTTTGCTGCCTTTTGGCTTGTAAAAGAGCTAACAATTTGTAAATCCTTGGAGTTAAAACCCACGATCGCTCTGTAGTAGATAGCTCCCAGTATTTACTCCTTTATGAGACATTGTGTGAGGGAATGAGAAGGAATATATAATATATAGGAAAGTGAGGTTGCATGATGAATTGTACTCAGTTATGCAGTGGACAAATTATTCATGGAAATGTCTTATATCGATAAACAATCGATGAAGAAGGGAGCTGGAAAAAGGTCAGAGCAGGTAGCTAGCAACAGCTGGTAGAAGGATGCCGAGAAGAGAACTTGAGGCCTGGGCACGAAGATGAGAAGACATCATCTCGGAAGAGAGGCCTACTACATTGAAGACTAAGAATATCGAGCCTACAGGTATAAGACTTTTATACATTAATTTATTACAGTTGTGAAAATAAATTGTTTTATTGTACAGGAGTGAAAAGTAATTTTATTTAGTTGTCCTATAGGCCTCACAATTGAAGAACAGGTTATTTACAGCTCTATATTTTCAGATAGCCAAGATAAGTGGATATTGGTGTCCTAAGTCATTGTCATTTTCTATGACACCTACCATCAAGAAAATTAGGTAATGAGAAGGCAGATAACCTTCCTCTAATAGAGTCTGTCTAAGATAAATTTGCTAGTGGGTAGAGGGAGAGAAAGCACAATGGCAAAATGTTTTTCTGCCGATTCTCCGCTCTTTTGTCTTCTCTCTACTTATTTTAAGTAGAAATTTCTTTTACCATTTTTTTTTATTTGCCAAATCTATCATAGATACTCCAAACCAATGAGTCCTGTGTTATCAGAGGAAGGCCTTGTTCAGAGGTTGATACAACAGATTCTGCTAAGCCAAGACTTATTTTTTAAAAAAATATTTGTAGTTACAAAAAAACATCATGAATACATTATAAAAATTTGTTTATTGCTACATAATGTTGATAATTTACTTGTGTCTGATATGTTTGTGTCTGCAATAACTGCACATGGAGAAAATCCTTTGTGACCACACACCTGGTCAATTTCAACCTTCTCTTGACATTCTGGACATGGTTGTCCACATAAACCACTACAATGATGGCCACATGGCTTGATTAAGTTACATGGCTGTTTACATATAGCTTTACTCAATTTCATATAGCACATTACTTTCACCTTGTGGCCACATTCTTTGACAGTTTTGATAACCTGAAAATTCAAAATTCAAAAGAGGTGTACAAATGACATCTATGTTCAAAAGTTTTATCAAAATTATAATCTGAAATTTGTGACATAAATAATAATCCTACCTTTTTTTTACACAGAATATCTTCTAGAGAAGTAGAACATTTTGCCAGTTGAACGCCATGCCCACATTTCAGCTCTTTTTCAACTAATTTTTCACAAACATTTTCTTCACATGATAAATGGCAAGCAATAGTTTTAAAATGGCCACATGGAAGACATTTTTGAACAATTTCTTTGCAAATCATTTCTTTCTTATCCCCACCAACACAAGGAACTTCGATATCATGCCCACAAGAGAGTCGTTCTAAATTGCTTTTGGTGCACACTACCTAAAAAAAAATTACTAAGGTAACAGTTATACTAAAGTTATATCTATAAACGGCACTTTATGTTAACTATGGTATTGATTTGGCAATAAAATAAAAAAATTGGTCTGATATATCATAAACTAACAGGATTTTTTTTCTTTACTACAAGCACATTTCTGCCAACATTTGAGTTCATTCTAACCCATTGAACTTGCTTAATTAACTTTTCTACCAATAAGCAATTCATGGGAAAACAAAATTTCACCATTAAAAATATTTAAATTAATGGGGAGGATATGTTATATTCAATGAATATTAAGTAACTTTGCAGTAAATGACCTCTACCTACTCTTTTATGTGACATTGTGTGAGGGAATGATAAGGAATGTTTAGGGATGGAATGGTTGCACTATGAACTGGACTCAATTGTGCAGTAGACAAGTTTTGTGTAGTGAAAAGTGTCAAGTATATAAACAATTGACGAAAAAGATCCAGAAGAACAAAGAAATAAAGGAGTCTAGAAAAGTGTTCAGCAGGAGAAGGACATTGGGAGAGAGAAGAATGTAAATAATGATGTTTAAAGGTTAATTTTAAATAGTTTGTTTTTTTGGTGGGAATAGTGAATAGCCTTGTGCATTTATATCGGGTATTTAGGTTATTTACACTCAACATAATTAAAACAAAACCCCTGCACTGGATACTGGATTTTTAAGGGTGTTTAACTGTTGTTGGGAATTCGGGAACCTAATAACTTTTGTGACAATGAGTGAGAAGAAACAATAAGAATATATATTTGAAATATGGGACTTAATAAATACACTTTAAATGAATTGACTCACCTGGTTTATTATTCTTCAATCGTGAGGCATATAGGGCAACTAAATAAATAAATGACTTTTCACTCATGTATAACAAAATAATTTATTTCTACAACTGTAATAAATTGACTCTATTAAAGTATTATAACTATAGACTTGATCTTCTAGATCTTGTAGTAGCCTCTCTTTCCAGGTGTGTTCCGTCTCAAGTGTCTGGCATTGTCTCGCAGCTGCAGCAACCTGACCGGATCTTTTTTCTTTCTTTATCGATATGAGACTTTGTCCACTGCACAATTGAGTACAATTCACAGTGCAACCTCACATTCCTATATATTCCTTCGCATTCCCTCACACAATGTCAACTAAAGGAGTAAATACCGGGGAATATCTACTACAAGAACAAATACTTGAGGCTAGGACGTGAGGACGGAAGGTCATGATGGATTGAGAGAAGTTTACTCTACTGAAGCTCAAGCCTACAGTTACTATACTTTGTAATATATTCATTAATTACAGTTTGTTAAAATAAATTATCTTTGTTATACACAAGAGGATGTTCCTTTTATTTAGTTGTCTTGTATGTCATAACTGAAGAACAACAAACAGGTGAGTCAATTCATTTAAAGTGTAGCTCATTCCAATTTCATATATTTAATCATTCATATAGTCATATTTTTCAAATATATATATATATATATATATATATATATATATATATATATATATATATATATATATATATATATACATATACAAATTATTATTTTTTTTGTCCTTCCTTATCTTGCCTTTTAGGAGGAATTAAAGTTAAAATTCCTCTCTTGGGTACTTTTTAATCTTCCATAAGTTCGGTTATCTGGTTGCTGGACAACTCACTTTGCTGTGCACATGTGTTAGCCCGTTCAGCCACTCCGCCCCTTACATTTTCCAGGAGCATTAAACATCTTCAAAAAGTTTATCTAGAGAAGGGGTTTTAAAATTAAAATTCATAGGTGTAAAAACCAAGACCTCCCCCTCCCACAAACGAAAGGTTATTTAAAACTTGGTGTTACTTTAGACCACCCTCTTACATGGAAACACTAGAATTATATGTTCTTATATATTGCATCTATGTACAGAAAATTAATGCTGGCAAAATTGTAGAAAGATTAAGTTGTTATATAAAACTTAAAAAAAAAAATTATAATAAGAAATACAGTTTAAAAACCTCTGAATTAAATTTAAAACATTCCACTTCAACCGTATGACCACAGTCTAATTTTTTTTCCAGCAACACTTCACATATTTTATTTTTAATTTTATGGCATTTCCCATGGACTGTATGACCACAGGGCATAGTTGTGATGGTTTTCACCACACATTCTCCACATTCTTCTCCACAGGCTTTCTGGCATTTATGTCCTAAGAAGCAATTTACATTGGGTTTGTCACATGGCATTGGGCAGAACTGAAAAAAACAAACAATTATAAATAAATAATTTAATCTCTAATTTTACAGTCATCAATTTAGGCTTAATATTCATTTTCTTTAAATATCAAGAGAAAATATCCATTAAATATATATCAATAACTAATACAGAGTGGCTACAAAATTGTCAGAGAAAACTTCTTTTTTCTGGGGAGTTGGATGTTATTAATTTTATTATAACTTGAATTAGAACCTGAGGATGGAGCACATTAGATTTAAGGTAATTACAAATTTAATGTAACAACCCAATTCTGACATGTTTTGTAACATGCATTATATTGAAACTCAATATTTTTAGCCACGTATCAACAAAATATCATTGGGATTGTAGTTTTGAAGATGGGAATAAATATCCTGAAACATTAACATGTAATTTGGAAATACAACAAATAAATTTAATTGTCGTTTAATTGGAAGTCATCATTGCCAAATAACAAAGAATGTAAGCATAAAATTGTCTGACTTTTCACTATTTAATGAAAGTTTTCCCTGACCAATATGTCGGGGGATACAAATTTTAAAAATGTATAGTTTATAACTATCACTATATATCTATAATTTATAACTATTTAATTTATCATACATGGTTGAAAATTGTAAGATTAGAGTAGTTCACTCGATAAATGATTAGAAAAAGAAAGTGCAGGGACACGATTTTTGACTTTGGTAGATTGTTTGAACTAGTGAAGAAATAAACATACTAAAAGTCCCCACTCCTAGGTCCCATTAATGGTCAACCCTCATATCGATTAAATCAGATAAGTTACAAAAAATCGATGAGAGGAGACGCAATCTCAAATTCGACATTATTTTCATTAAAAGATAAGCCTAAATCTTTATAGTTGACCCTGATATCGATTAAATCCGAAAAGTTACAAAAAGTCGTTGGGGGAGAGGGGGCACAATTGCAAATTTGACAGTATTTTTCTAATAAGCTACTCCGAAAACATAATAGTCGACCTGGATATCGATTACATCAAAGGCGATGCGGGGAAAGAGGGAAGGGGGGCACAATCGTAAATTCGACAGTATTTTCATAAAAAGCGCCTCCGAAAACATAATAGTAGACTCTAATATCGATTAAATCAGAAAAGTTTCAGAAAGTCAATGTGAGAGAGCACAATCGCAAATTCAACAGTACTTTTAGAAAAACATAACAGTCGACCCTGATATCGATTAAATCTGAAAAGTAATCATTAAGGTAAAAAGTACTCTATTAAGATTAATACATATCAAACAGCATTATGTAAGGAGTCTTAAGTCTGCCCTTTCCTAGGAAACAAAAAGTGGCATCTGAAAAATCAAAATGGCTGTCAGGTACACTCAGCCTCTACAAAGATAAATATGCCTCAAACAGTAGTAAATAAGAATGCTACAGTCCGCCTAAGCGCAGGAAACGAAAAAGGGCCATTTGAAAAAAAGATATTGCTCTCGGGCACACTCATCCTTGACAAAGATTAAGAGGTATCAAACAGCATTAAATTAGAAGTCTTAAGGCTGCCTAACCGCAGGAAACAAAATAGTGTATATTGGTAATTTTTTAATGTTATTTCTGAAATATTTATTTCTTGATTTTTTGCAATAATTTATTCATGATATAAATAATTCTGAAATAATAGTTATGAAATAATTTATTTCAGAAATAACTGATTTCGAAATAAATTACTTTATTCCAAAGAATGTTAAAATATTGAAATAAATTTTTGCCATCTCGACCGAGGTCATGGTTTTTCAATTGCATTTTTAGTATTAATAATTAATGTGTGAAATTAATAATGATTTGGAGTTTCAATTTATGTATCTCTCGATAAATTAATGGGAGAATTGTAGTAGACATCCCCGGTATTTACTCCTTTATATGACAATGTGTGAGGGAATAAGAAGGCATATATAATATATAGGAATGTGAGGTAGCACTGTGAATTGTACTCAATTGTGCAGTGGACAAATTTCTCATTGGAAAATCTCACATCGATAAAGGATCGAAAAGAAGAAAAGGTCCGATCAGGTAGCTGGCAACAGATGGCGAGGACGACGCCAAACACTTTAGTCCTGGACACCAACACAAGAAGACGTCATCTGGGAAGAGAGGCTTACTACACTGAAGACCAAGATTATCAAGCCGACCGTTCACTTATATATATATATTCATTTATTATCAATTGTCAAAATAAATCATTTTATTATACCTGAGTGAACAGTCCTTTTATTTAGTTGTCCTATAGGCCTCACAATTGAAGAATAAACCAGGTGAGTCAATTCATTCAGTGTTTACTAAGCCCCACATTTCATATATATATTCTTATTGTTTCTTCTCACCCAGTGTCATAAAAGGTATTAGATCACCGAATTCCCAATCACAGTTAAACACCCTCAAAAAGTCGATATCCAGTGCTGGGGTTTTGTTTTAATGATTCATGAGTGTAAATAACCTTAAACCCTGATATAAAAGCGGAAGGCTATGCGCCTATTCCAGCCAAAACGAATCATTTAAAATTAACTTCCTGTAAGTTATTTACAGAGTGTAAAAAAAATATTTATTAAAATACAATTTTTACTGAGTTGGAATAGCGATGTGGTTTTATAGTTTATAACAATACTGAAGGAATTATAATAATCAAGGCTGCAGCTTACATTAAAATTTCTTGGAATTACAATATCATATACAGAGGTTATAACAATGTATCGGCTTTAACAACAAAGTGCCATTTTGGATGATTCAGATGGCTTTTATAACATGATTTTGAATGAATATAGCGATTGGATTTACTGACTCGATTTCTTACAATTTTTAGAAAAAATTATCGTACATAGCAACGGTTGAACTTCTTAAAAACTTTCTTGTTTATATCTCACATATCGAGGAAATATTTTATTTCATTCGTCCTCTAAGTAAGAATCACATTTACCGGACCAATTTCATCCCCACTCTTGCTGTTAAATTCATATTTCTGTTTAATAGTTTAATAAGAATAACGAAGATCAAATAGTTCTAGGTATAATAAAAGTTCTATATATGTTGCCGACTGGAGAGTGAAGAGTCTAATAATAACTTGACTCAAGAATTCAACATAAATCTTACACTTTGAAAAAATTGAGAATCTAATTGAGGACATGCTGAATCATTTATATCCAAAAAAACAAAGACTACCTATCTAAATCTAAATCAGTTCTTCTCAATATTCCGCTATTAGACAAGGAGCTACAGAGAATTTTATTTATCGGAAGGACTTATAGCTAGTAACCATTTTAAATTATAGATAAACCTCATATTAACACTCAACTTCGTTCGGTCAGTTGAAAACCGTTGCTTTCTATACGAAAATTTGATAATTAACAAGGCAAAATTTGACGGTTCATTTAATGGAAGAACTGAGGCTGAAATTTTTATATCACGTAAAGAATATGTTCCTAAAAGATAGTTTACCTTGACTGACGTCAAAATCATAACATTAGGGCAGTCGGATGGTAGTTGGTTGAAGAAAAAATTCAAATAGTCTGTTTCTCTTTGGTTTTTTATGTTTTTTTGGGATACTGAATCAAAATTTGATGTTCCAGAACATCAAACTCATTTATTTCCCTTATTTACAGTGACAAGTGGATAGATAAAGGTTATATAAAGATATATATAAAGATGGGTCGTCTATAACAATTATACATTTTAACAATGAAATTTACCAGGTCTCTTAAGGTTGTTATAAACAAAATCCACTGTATATTAATTCCAATTTTAAAAGAATATTTTCGAATTTTTCCCTGACTTTTCCAGGTCGGTCGCCACCCTCTATTAATAAATATAAATATTAAAAAATAACTATTTTTTCAGTTTGATCCATATATTTTTTTTTCTACCTGATTACTCTTTTTGGCTATTTTTCATTCATAGAATAACATTTTTATTTTTATTTTGAAAGTATACAGCCTTTGGAATTACCTCATTAGGTAGATGTGGCATAGGGAAATGACATTCTTTTAAACAAGGATGACCACAATTTAACTTGTCAGAGCAGTTTGAGCTGCAAGGAAGAAATCCTCCTTCACACTCTTTTTCGCCTGGATGATCACAAGGCAGAACTGTTTCCACGATTACATCACATTTGGGGCATGGAACTCCACACAAAGCCTTACAGTCATGGATGTTACAACCAGCCTTACTAGAAAAATGAAAATATATTTTTAGCCATAGTTTTATTATTTAAATTAATATAGATCAAAATACTATCAGTAAAGTAAATATTAAAACATTAATTATCTATATCTTAAAAAAAAAGTAATAATAAGAAATAAGGATAAAGCGCTAATTAACTGATTTTTTAAAGATAAAACAGTAAAACATAGCAGTGATTTCATTACAAATACATTATATTTATTAATGGAATGATCATACTAACAATAACTAATAAATTTAAAAACAGAGATGTACCCACAATTTTTAAAATTATATTTCGTCATCTCCTTTCTATCATGAGAAAGATATTTTTTATTCAAAATATTACAAGAAAACAGCATTTTGTAGATGTGTATTATTATGTAAATAATTGCAAACATTTTATTGCACAGGCATTACCTAGTCTATAATTTATTCAGCTTTATCTACTAGAAAAAATGACATGTATTAATTAAATAAGATCAAATCTCTGTCATCATATATATTGCCGTCCTTTTGATACAAATTAAAACCATTAAATTTAAGGCCGAATTTTTATTTAATATTATTTCCAACTAGGATTGCTTAATGAAAGAGGAATTGGTCACCACAGTGATGGTTAGCAGTCGCTACTGTGGGCAGAAACGGTGAAATAGCATCTTAACCCTTTAAACTGAAGGAGCTCATTCGAGAGTTTCTACCATATATAACTAACATCCTGAAATCCACAAAGAGGGCAAAAAAACAAAAACAGATTTTTTTTGTAAATAAATTTGTTTAAAATTCAGTTTTGAGTCACCCTGCAAGAACCATAGCTTTCCAAAATGCATTTTAATGTTTCTATTCAACTTTTGAAAAATGAGATATATGCCTTCCCGGCCGCATATGACAATACAAAATTAGAGCGGCAATCCTGCAACACTTTGCTTATTTCTGAAAATCAACATAACTGAAAATGATCATAAAAATAACAATAACTCATCATAAAAATGAAATTATATTATTTCTAAAAAAAGACACAGACGCGAGATTCATATAATATATTTCTTAGTTCCCTTTTTATTTTCTTACCTAAAAAAGTTCCATATTGAAAACAGTACAGTTATAAATTTTATTATTGCACTTACATTTATTTTGAGTTTCAAACACTTTTATATTATATGAAATATATATTGTTTTTAGGTGTTTTATCATGGAGAAATGATAAAACATTTTAAATCTGTTAGAAAGTATTATATTAATTCTGTATACTTTTACATTTATTAATTTTTACTACTAAATTTTAATTTTTGTATATTTTTATATTTATTTATTACATTATATATTTGTATATGTATTGTAATGTAATTATTACATAGTGATTTTGAATAGTGGCGCGATAGATGGTGGGGGAAGAGGAGCCAGATGTTAAGGCAGAAAGTGACTGGCTGGCTAGTAAACAGGATCAAAGAGAACAAGTAAGAAACAAGTGTCAGTAGAAGGTTGTGGAAGTTGAATGCAGCAATATAAAGGAGAAGTTGCTGCAGAACAGGACGAGTGACATAAATAGTGACATTTGGAAAGCGTGCTAAGAGAAGACCCCGACAAACAATGGAAATTCATAAATAAGTTATATAAAATTAATGTATGCCTTAGTATTATTTATTTGAGGAATGTGTGTAAGTTGTCTCAACCCAACCTGGGAATTAATTATTGTGTAAAATAAGTATTATTTGATTAAGAAACTGTTGTGTATACTTTTCAAAGGGAACGTAACCTCACAGTATGTATACACCTAGTCCTGTCATAAATATTGTTACAAGGAAATATATACAGATTTCAACAGAAAAATTAATTTTTTCAAAAACTTTATTAGAAAATAAAATGTATATCTAAAGAGTAAAACAAAAAAGAAATTATCAAAATGTCCCGCTTTTGCATTGACACAGGCATTTAATCTCTGTGGCCAGTCATCAATAGCTGAATGTAGCACTTCTTGAAGAAAGCGCTCAACCGCCCAGACCAGAGATTGTTTGAAGCTTTCCAAATTATGGTGTGCTCTGTGGCATGCCATCCTCACCAGTTTGGAACAAAGCTAATTATCTAGTGGGTTGAGATTAGGGCTTCCTGAGGGCAGATCCAAGGCAGAGATGAACACTGGCATGTTCTTTTGCAGCCACTGCTGAGTTGACCTGGCCTTATAAACTGGAGCAGAATCCTGCTGGAAAACCCAATGACAACAGATTGTCATTTGGAGGCTTGACAACAGGTTCCAAAATATCGTCCTGATAGTTTTTAGAGGCTGTTTTAACTGCTTTTTCACAAAAATGAAGCTTTGTAGTGCCATCAAAGCAAACTGCCCACCAAACCATCTGGACTGAGGAAAGGTGATGACCTCTTTTCACTCTTCCAATGACTTCCTGGGCTTCTTTAGAATTGTGTACGTACACACGATCATTTTTGCAATTATTTTTCCTCAATTATAAAAATCTTCTCATCGCTAAAACAATCTTTTGATGAAGACCATCAGTGTAACGGCCAAGGAGTACTTGGTATCTATCCCTTCTAATTTTTTTGTTAAAGTGGTTAGCCTTTGTCCTGTCATTCTTCGAAATGCATCCATCCTAAGGTTACTTTTTATTATGCGAGACATTGATCTGACAGAGATTCCCACTTTCAGAGACATGATTTGTTGTTTTCGAATGAGGATTTCATCTGATTACGAGCAGCCACTGCTCTCAGTGCATTTCCGTTCTCACAGTGCGGAGACAGTCCGGTCGAGATCTGTCACATACAGATAGGGTCTCTATCTATTTATAGTGTGGTACACGAACATACAGCTGATACCCAAAGCTTTTAAAGTGTTGAAAATCTCTGACATACATTTTCCAACTTATGATACATATCCATGATAACTGAGCGAAACAAAAATTAAAACTAATTTGGATTATTATCCTGACATGTAAAGAAAATAACCTGATAGTGGTAAGGATCGTACAGTACATATGGTAGGATTGTGTCTAAAATAGACAGAAGTAAATAAACTGTCTGGTAAGGGTCTGACATCAACAGGAAAGTATCCATTTGGGATTTGCTTATCCCTTTAGAGTGAGCAGGAGTCAAAAGGAGAGATCTAATATAAAAAATACAATTAAGGAGTTAGCTTTTGTCCTAAATCACAATCTAAATAAAGCGAGGTTATAGTGTGAACAAGTCAATTCTTAGGAACCCATTTATAATATGATCATGAGACCTGCCCCACTCGCCTAACTGGAATGACACTTGTACAGTGGCACATTTTTTTCTAATTAAAAAATCTGTCATGCAAACAAATCTTAATATTTCCATTAAATAAAACAATGGATTTGAAGTGGAAAGATTATCAGCTCAAGAGTGTGATTAAGAAAACAAAGGAAAAATAAACTGAGAGATCAGAGAACACGCTTTAGTGTTACCGACTTACTTGTCAGTTCCCATAGATTCATCCTCATTTATTATTGGGTCTATTCCTTTCAGTATTTAAATCATAGTGCATTGTTAGGAATAAATTAACATATTATTTTCACCACATCAGCTAGCAAGATGAATAAGAAAAATGGCTAGTCAAATTACCACATAATGAAGATTATATTATTTACAAATAAAATCTTACCGTTCACAAGGCTTTTGGCAGCTAAAAGTTCCTAAATGGCATTCATCAGAACCATGACATTGTAATTCACAAAGATGGCCACATTCTAATTTCGCACCACAAATCAGTGTACAACCTCCAAAAATTAAGGGAGCAAAGTCATCAGTTGTCCGCACATTTGTAATTGTTCCATGTGTGTTGCATTTCAAAGGGAGTTCATTTCCTGACAAAAATAATTTGATATAAAAAGCTTTACTTAAATGGAATGAGACCATGCAGTGTGCTGTAAAATATTTTAGAATTAATGCAAGGCTTTATTCATTTTAATTTTACACAATACATAATACACAATAGTACAATAGATAATATTTATATAACTAAATAGGTTATGTTAAATGGTATTCTTCCTCACTTCAGGAATTAAGAATATAATCATATAGCCGGTCGGGCATGTGACACTCCCTTGTTGAACGGCATATTGGTTTTGTTGTATCTAACTCTTCATTTTCCCATTCTTGCATCTGTAGTTCCCTTGGGTGATGAACTTCTTGCAGTAAAACTTGCGAGGATGCACCCGGCTCAGAGAAGAGTCATCAAATGGCATCAGGTGAATGGAAGTGCTGTCGCCCAGTAGAGAGTGATTGGAAGAATCACCACTCGGTGACAAGTGCTTTAAAGAGACTGTTTGAACTGTTCAGTTTGAACCCAGGCATATTGTGGATTGACATTTATCAGATACACCTCTTCCACCAAGAGATCATATTTGCCTAACCTTACCTGCTTCTTCATCAACAGTTTAGATGAAGGTGTAAGCCAGGAGGGTAGAGAACAACCAATGGTTGATCTTCGGTTGTGTTTGAACATTCTCTCATGTGGCATCTCATTGGTCGCTGTGCACAAAAGCGATTGTATACAATGCAAAAAGTTTGGAAGTATGGATTCACAATGAGATGAATTGAGTTTATTTTGTTTATTAAGAACCTGTGAAATAGTCTGTCAGATCATGTCATTCTCGTGTTCTATCTGGCCATTCTCTGAAGGATTACATGGCGAAGACATAGAAGTCGCTATAGCCTGTGAATGCAAGAAATTTTGGAGTTCCCGAGAAGTAAATGAAGTCCTTCCGTCAGTATGAATGTATGAGGGGATTCCAAAAATTGAGAATAAATCAACGAGGCAGTCTATAAATTTTGAAGAATTCATGTCAGGACAAGGATAAGCAAATGGAAACCAATGAGTGGAAAGTGAAAATCCATCAATCATTGTCAGCAAGTACTTGTTTCTAGTTTTTGAGGGAAGAGGGCATTTAAAATCAATATTAACTCTTTCCAAAGGATGAGTAGCCTTGATGAGCTTAGAATTGGCCATCTTAAAAAATCTTGGCTTTATGTAGGACAAGATGAGGTCATTTTTCGGATCTCTTCAACTGAAATCAGTTGATTATACGTTCTTACCCAGTGGATCATTGAAGTCACACCAGGATAACACAAATCACAATGTAGAGAATATGGTTTGTTAGGTTAAATCGAGGCACATATTCTTAAGAAGGCATCTGCAACAAGATTATCTTTTCCTGGTCGATATATTATATCATAATTGTGGCATGCTAACTCAAGACACCATTCTCTTTATCTTTTCGTTTTTAATTTTATTCTGATGTTTTAAATCGAACATGAAGAACACAGAGCACTAGTCAGTGATTATTGTAAAATATCGTCCTAATGGGAAATGTCTCAATTTTTTTAATGATAAAAAAATAGTATGCTCTTTCTCAATAGCTGAATATCACCGTTCGCTATAGTTGAGCTTTTGAGAGAATGCCACAGGGCGGCTGGATTGGGAGAGCACTGCTCAGATTGAGAAGTCTGACGTGTCAGTTTCGACAAAAAATGGTTCTTTATTGTCGATGGCACCTATCATTGATTTTGATATCTCATTTTTTAGAAGCTCGAACTGTGAAACAACCTCAGGTGTTAAAGGAAAAACCCTACAATTTAGCAAATTTCGAACTTTATCTGAATAATTTGGAACCAAATAATTTCTTTGGTTATTTGGAGGAGGTAGGTTAAGGAGTGGTTCTAAATGGTCTTGGGTCAGGCAAAATAGTCTTATTCTCTAACTTATAGCCAAGAAGACTAATAGAAGTTTGAGAAAATTTGCTTTTCTCATGGTTTATGGTGAATCCGTATTTTTTGACTGCATCCAGAAATCGTTTTAAATTATTATCATGTTCTTCTTTGTTTGCTCCACAAACTGTTACATCATTGAGTTATGTGTATGGCTTTTTTAATTTTTCTTTTGCAATAATGTCATCCATGACTCGTTGGAAACAAGGAATCCCGTCTGTCAGGCCAAAAGCTAGTAGCTGAAATTGATACAGACGGCCACATGCTTCGAAGGCAGTATAAGAACGATTTTGCTCTTGGAGAGGAATCTGGTGGTATGCATTCTTGAAATCAATGCTACTGAACCAAGAATTTTTCTGTTTGCTTAATATCTGGTGGAGGGTAAGCATCTAAGAGTGTATATTGATTAATTGTTTGTAAGTAATCGGACACCATTCTCTTTTTATGATTTTCCTTTTTAACTACAAATGCTTGCGTTCTCTATGGAGACCTAATTTCTTTAATTATTTTGTTCACGAGGAGCTTTTTAATCTCCTTCTTCATGAAGTTGTAGTCTTCCTCCGAATGTTTGTGGTAATTGGTTTAATGTCTCCAGTAAGATATTGAAACATTGGAGGGGGCTCGATCTTCGCCGGCACTAAGAAACAGATGGTCAGGGGAATATAGAGCCAACGAAGGGAAATTTAAGTTATGAATGCAAACTGAGTAAGCCATGAACCACTATGACATTAGCTTATAAATCGGTGAGAACATTTAATTTTGTGCCTGTGCAACAGTGGCCTTTTAATTCTAATTTTACTAAAAAATAAATGGAAATTCGTGAATTTAAAGAGATAGAAGTCATGCAAACTGAACCAGTGGTGGAGTAAGTCTTGAATCAGCAGCTCTCAGCAAACTGCTTAGATATGAAAAACTCGGAACTTCCTGTATCGATGAAAGAATGAGAAGGGACATTGTCCACTTGAGTGAGGCCTGTGGCTCTTTGAAGGTTAGACAAGGATGCTGCGATTAGAGCTGCTGACTTGGTAGACGTCTTTGATCTGCCGATTTTGGAACATTTGTCACATTTAGAATCAATTGCAGGACAATTCTGACAAAACTTGTGTCTCAATAAGCCACAAAAGTAACATTTAGTGTTCATACGAGTGGTGGCTAAGCTGGATGACTCCCTAGATGAAGCTTCATCATCTGGTGTGACAGAAGTAGTGGCATTAAGATATAGTTCAGGGGATGAATAGAATGTTTTCTAAACCGCTTCATCTAGAGTCAATGTATTGAACCATAACAGTCAGACGTGAATATGATTGGAATTGTATACCTTGAATAAAAGAATCTCGGACATGAGTTTTTTTAAGTGTTTCAGCATTGACAGCTATGAATTTGCAACTTTTGCTGAGTGATTCCAAAGCCTGGTGGAATTGATCTATTGGACCTTGTTTCCGAGACGCAAGTTTATGCCTAGCAAATATTTCATTAGTGGGTTTTACATAAATTACCTTTAATAAGTCTACTGCTGCTTTGAAAGTTTTGGTCTCGGGAATCATTTCAACATTCCTGCTGAAACATGATTGATTAGAAGTTTTAGTTTACCCTTGTCTTTAATGTTTTCAAAAGAATTTGAAAAGTTTTCGAATGTTTTAAGCCAATATTTCCAATCTTTAGTGGCGCTTGGGAGTTAGTATTAACATCAAATTTGTCTGGCTTCAAGAATCGATCCATTTTTAAAATGAATAAATTGTAATAAAAATCTTTAGAATAATTGGAAGGTTTTATTCATTTGAAATTATGCACAATACATAATAATACTCATAAAAATAGATAACATTAATATAACTATATAGGTTATGTATGGGTTATAAAACATGGTACTACAAATGATTATTACCTATAACTTTATTTCTTTGAAGAGTCTCATTGATACCCTTCCAAACTAATGAGTTGCCTTTTAGAGTTGTCATATTACCAATTATATAAAACCCTTCTCTAGCTCTGGTGAGAGCAACACATATTCTGTTCATTTTAGACAAGAATCCGATAGAGTGAGAGTTACTTCTAACTAATGAGAGAAGGATAATTTTGTTTTCTTCTCCTTGGAAGTTATCAACTACTTCCAAACTTACACCTTTCGTTGAAGGATAATTTGAGCGTACCTGGAAAGAGTACCTCTTATTAGCTAATTAAAAAGTTAAAATACAACTGCTTTAACCAGGTGGATAGATGCAGATTAACATAAATAAATTTGGTGCACCAAAAGCTTCTTGAAGTGATATAATAAACTTGAAACTGTTATGAAGGATATTTTATATAATTAATTTTCTTTCTTTTAGCACTATGGTTTAAGTGAAATTTATATTTCAATGATAGATAGGTTGGTACCATTAATCTTTTTTTTTTTTTTTTTTGTTTTTTGTTCTTCCCTACCTCGCCTTTTAGGCTATACGGGATTTTCCCGGGCCGGGAAATTTAAAATCCCCTCTGGCACCGGGACGCGAACTAGTACTTTTTATATCATCTCAAATCTCTGTTATCCGGTTGCCAGGCAACTAGCGGTGCTTTTACACACGCTTTAGCCTATTCGGCCACCCCGCCCCCAGTACCATTAATCTTGAAAAACGAATAACTTCTTTAAGCCTGACCAAAAGATTAATATTGTTAATAAGTAAGTTACTTCTACTTGTCAGCCCAAGACTCCCACAGAAGTCCTATACTGATCCTATCATATATAACTATTAAAGATTTAAAAACTCTATGGATGAAATTGCACTTTATCTGTTGGAATTGACTGGTCTCATAATTTGCAAAAGTTTAAAGGAGGCCAGGGGTGCCCTGAAGGGGGTTTCATGATGCGAATTGCGCCATCAAAAATTTTGAAGGTGGGCATATTTTGAATTTTTGAGGGGGGCACATTTTGAATTTTTGAGGGGGGCACATTTTGAATTTTTGAGGGGGGCACATTTTGAAGGGTTTATGAATCATTGGAATGAAATGTTTCATAATAAGGGACTAGAGGAACACATGGAACAAACCGCAGGAAATATAACAGCATATGATCTACGATTTTTCTAATTCTACCTTCGCTTGCTATGCTTTTAAGAATCAGTGAACAATAAAATATCTTGGGAGTGGAGAGTAAGTTCTTTTATCATCCACCTTGGGGGAAATGGGTATCCCTGGAGGAGGCAATGGCTTCCTGCCTGTCCCACTGACAGTTTTAACATGTTTCTATTTTCTGTTTCTAGAAAATAGGCTAATATGGTATATGTCAGATTCTAAAAGGGATACAAATTTATAAGTGTTGAGAATTCAGAAGCAGAAATCTGAAAAAATGTAAGAAAAATTTGTTTTGTGGATCAGTGCAAATGTAAGAGAGAAGTCTTGCATAAATCCATGTGACAATAAATTCTTGGAAAGGACTTCCTACAAAAAAAATTGCTGTTATGAAAGAAAAGTATTAATATACATTATCAACGTCACTTAATTATTACTAAGAATTAATTACTATGCTGTATTTCGCAGCTAACAAAGATATTTGGGCAGTACCAGTTAACTATATAAATAAAATCTGGTGTAGCACATCACACAACTCGGGCTGAAGCCCCCCAAAATGAAAAAATATAACCATGGTTTATGGAAAAAAAAATTTAAAAAATACCTCTTAAAGTATGATTGTTCGTGTAATTACATTTAAAAGTAATTAAGGAATAACTTAAACACCATTTCATATAGTAAGTTAGTTTCTTTCTGTTTTTCCAAAGTAATTATCGTTATTTTTATGAAAAAAAAAAAGGTTTCGGGCTGAAGCCCCCTCCTCCCAAAAAATTAAATCCTGGATCTGCTAGTGCTATATGCCTCACAATTGAATAATAACAAACCAGGTGAGTCAATTCATTTAAAGTTTGTTTACTAAATCCCAATGACAGTTAAGACACCCTCAAAAAGTCTATATCCAGTGCTGGGGTTTTGTTTTAATATTCACGAGTGTAAATAACTTAGTCCCCCCCTATAAAAACGGAAGGAATATTTACAATTCCTGCCAAAACGGGTTATTTACAATTATTCTTTAACAGATTATTTACAACATGTAACCTCCATGCTTGCCCAAACTACCCTCCATTGGCATCCCCCAGCCTGAAATAGTGTTGCCACAATCCACTTTCCAAACACATACAATAATAGTGGATAGTCCACCAAACTTATCAAACTAAAATAAAATATGTAAGTCTAAGATGGATACTCAATATTGTAATAATACACCTCAATTGAAAGTTGTTAAAATGTCTTAATAAATTAATGTAACTGTTAAAAAGTAAGCTAATCTAGTTTGACTAGTTCAGAGAAAAGAAAATAACTGCTCTGTACTTTCTCTAGAAAGGAAAATCCCAAAAGAGGAGAGGGACAAAGGATTTTGTTTTGGAAAGCAGTTGGTGTTTGGCTAGGGTGAAGAGAAGATGGAAGAAAGGATCCCTGGCTCCAGTGGGTAAAACACAGTAATAGTAATAACATCTTGGAAGTTGTTGTTTGGCAGGGAGAGTTGTTGTTAGGAGTTACAAGAGAGACGATCGCCCAGGAAGCTTGATTTGACCTTATGAAATGTTATTATTTTGAATGATGTGTTTGGCAGAAAATAGGAAAACGTTATAAGACAAAGCGATCTTCCACAAGGTTATATTACTAGTTAAAAAATATAAGAAAGATATTACAATATACATATAAATAAAAACTTACTGCTTGAAGATAAAACAATTGGGCTCCATATAGTGTAAGGATAGTTATGTCTTCCTTATTGTATCCTTGTTTTAATATATAATCAGCTAAAGCAAGGATAAAGTTAGCTTCATGTTTATTCCGATGACTTTCAGAATCTGCCAACTGAAAACATACTTTATGTTAAACAGTTTAAAAAACAGGTTTATATGTCTTACTTTGGAGGTTCTTTGAAAAAAAAATCTAAAGGAATTTGATAAAAAGGAAAATAGTTATTTTTTTATTATTGACATGTTTGAACCATATAACTAATTAGTTTAATTTTTGGGTTAGTACAGTATAATATTAATTTTAACAATTCAGAAATTAAAGACATACACACACACACACACACATATATGAGTGATTTAATTTAGATCATGTTGATCTTTGGTCGAACCATATGGTCTAGTCTAATTAGAGACATAAGTTGCTGATGGGAGCAGATAGCTTGCAGGGGGTCACCCTATCTCATGTTGATATGGACCATGGTCTCCACGGTGGAACGGCAGGCACCCCTACCTTAGTCCAAAGGCCATCCATAGCTCCTAATTTGATGAGTTCGTGGTGGCAGAGCGTGTTGGGGCTTTGTTCAGTCTAGCATCCTCGTGCCTAGCGACGCCAGTTCGAATCCAGTCTGGGGGTGGTTGACTTTTATTTTGTGGTGGACTCACGGAATGAAACTCGACCTTCCCGCTCTGTAGAACAATAGCCCCTCTCCCCGTCTGTGTGCCAGAAATGGTGGGTAGGGGGTTATCCAATAAAAAAAAGATTCTAGAAATGGTGGGTAGGGGGTTATCCAATAAAAAAAAGATTCTAGACATGGTGGGTAGGGGGTTATCCAATAAAAAAAAAAAGATTCTAAGTCGATCTCTTTGGTATCAATATGGGAATGTTCTTCCTACAGTCACTTCAAGGACAGTGACAAATTGGTCTAGATCTATGGATTATAGCAGTTCAGAGTCAGCAGGTGCACGAGGACCTATATTTCTTTCCCTGAAACAGATCTTCAGAGGAATACGCATTTGGTTGGCTGCTGACATCCTGAAGAACAATATTACGACTTCCAATTGAAGTATATAGATAGGTTGATTATCACTCTTATGCCTAGTCAGTGTGAATTTCCTCCAATAGGCTGAGAGACCTCACATACTGGAGAGGGAATTTCGGGCAGCATGGCTTTTCTCAGTGGACGACCAGCTATCCAAGTACTTCCCATGTTCGACATTGCTTAACTTTGATTACCTGTTGCACCAGCCTTAGTCCACTTGGCCATCCTGTGCCCAATATATATATTCAATAGCAATCTTTCACTTGCAAAATAAACTTTAAAAAGTTGAAAACAATTGAAACATGTAATAATTATATGTACATATTACAAATAAATAAATATGACTTTTTTTATAATAAGAGGGAAGTAAGTTTGTAATGTCTTTTTTGTCTAATATCTTATTTTATTAGCTTCATAACTATAAATGTACAAATATAGATATTGAATTTTTACATGGAAAAAGCTTGTTAGATTCATATAAAAATGTTTTGTTTTAATAAAAATTTAAGGTTCTTGAAAATAAGTTGGACATACAGATTTTTAATACTTAGAAATTTAACAATAAATGCCAGAATCACCATCTACTTACCTCATCTTCAGGAATGATATGATCGACAAAAAACATATTATCCTTTAGACCTCTTACATCTGGATAGTTTTCTACACTTATATGATTTTGTAATGTAGGATAAAACTGTGGGATGACAAGAGATGATATGAGTGGTCTCATTCGATGTTGTTCATTCAAGGTAAAATATTCCACACCATTATTGATCATTCTTTCAAAGAGAGATATATCTAATTTGTATTTATATGCAGAAATATAGCTTGCTGGATTTGGTCGCAGTTGCTGATGGTCACCTAAAATAGATAAATCAAATGAATGAAAAATCCTTGTCAAGAGTTATATACAAACAACCTCAACCAATAGCCAAATAATTTTTTATGATTTAATCTGTTTTTATTTGATTTATTTTTAAACAATCTTTTTAAATTTTCAAAATCACCAATGAATTATGCTAAAATAGTTACATGTCAATATGTTTTTGATAAAAAATTTAAAATTCGAAATGAGGTAAAAGTTTTTAAATTTTCAGAGTGATATTTGGTAAATTGTAAATATTAAAATTTCATTCAAAAATATTATTTTACGGTTAGTTATGACCCACTATATAAGATTCAATAAAATTATTTCTTTGGAATCAGTTTGCTATACTACCTAACTATATACAACATGATCATGACGACATTTTTTACAAGTAACAAAATTTATCTTCAGTGCAAAAAATATCATGTTTTTTATGTAAGTTGTGGGGAGTGGGGTAGCTCAGTGGTTTGACAGAGAGACTAGTTGTTTGGAGTTACAAAGAGAGAGGATTTCCCAGGAAGCTTGAGTTGAGTTGAAAGTGTTACCACTTCTGAAGGTGTGTTTGGCAGAACATTGGAAACCATTTGAAGACAAATGAATTTAGTAAAACAAAGGAAGAAACAAGGTCAGAGCTTGCCAATCTATACTTGACTTTATTTTAAAATCAATGTTTAATTTTAGTACAAATAATGCAAATAATAATAGTTCGTCTGAGTGTTTTGATGTGATTGTCAGTAACCCATATCTGAGATAGAACAATTGTAAATTTCAATTTAATATATTAATACTCTTATAATTGTATTTTTATATAACAACCTCATATTCATTTAAAAAATATCCCATATAAAGTGGTCTTCCACAAGGTTATATTACTAATTTAAAAAAATAAGATATATATTACAATATATATTTAGGTTTATGTGAAGCAATGGATGACAAGGATTGATGATTATTAACCAAATATTTATAAAACCACAAAAAATATTGTTAATCATACAAACCTATCATAATGACATGTTCACAGAATTGTGTTAAAGCTGTTATAGTATGAGATTCCAATACCTCTGCTGCTTCTTCAAATATTACTGCAAATAATTAAACAATAAAAATAATTGAATTGTACAATAAAATAATACCATAATTAAAATAATCTAGGGAGTTCTACATGATTTTTAAGTTATAATAATTAGGGTGATTATCCATATTGTTCAGGACAACGATGATCAGTTTTTGTGTTAGAATAGAATTATTATTGATATTATTTTTTTTTATTATAAAAAAAGACTGAATGAATCAATACTAAAACTTTGTTATTTATTTGTCTGTTCCATCCAGAGATTTTGTGATACTTTTAAAATGTATATAAAATAGTTTTAACTACAAATATTTTGTAATATAGAATCATCAATCAAACAGGTAGTTCGATCATCTCATTATTTCTATGGGATTAAATTTTTTATTTAGATTAAAATTCTGATAATCTCCATTTCTGAGTATAAAGAATCATAGGAGACAGAATGACTTGTTCTTATTCAATGAATTACTCTTTTCTTCATTAGGCCAGTAAATTTGGATATTTGGGAATACATGAAATTTTTATTTCTAACTCATAGAACATTATTTTATGTATATTAGCCATAAAACAAAATCAATAAAAGTGATTTCAGAGGTAGGAAAAATCCTTCAAGAGCAGAAAGAGATTTCAACACTAAGATGTTGATTTATTCATTTCTGAGGCATACATTATAAATAGTTTCTAATGAGTAAAAATAATAATGGGTCCCAATGAATTAGGTGGGATTGTTTAGTCTGCCTGAATAATGTATATGGCACTCTCACAGGGCTAAATGGTTGATGGAGAATGGACTTGATTTCCTGATTGATGATATATTTCTGCATAACAACTCCCTGCAGCAGGTAAAAGCTGCATTTTTACTTTATATATCAAGATATTTTTATTTTTGGACTGAGAAGATTTAATCCCTCACTCTGCAGCAGGATAATAGCTGGATGTAACAGCTGTGTGTTGATGATTTAACTACGTGAGCTATATACCAGTGACTTCCAGATTCATCAAGGCTTGCTGCAGCATGCAGGCTGTGTCAAGGCTGACTTTATCATCCCTTGTCAATGGGTAATTAAAACCAAAATGCTAGAATGGTAATATATCAAGTTCTTTTGACTTGTTTTTTGCTGCAATAGGTCATTTTTAACATTTTGTTTATCATTTAAAAAACTGTATACATTAATGAGGATTTCTTAATGAGGATCTATGAAATGAAAATAAATTATGCACTATGTAATTTTTTTTTTAAAGATTATTTATGAGTAAATAAAAATAATGTTTTGTTATTTATACTATAAAAAATACATATATTTAAATTTGTCTAACCAATAAAGTCTCAGTGATGAAATTCTTTTTACAATATAAAAAACAACATTTTTTTAATTGTAAGTTCCAGTTTACATACTTTACAGAAAATATTGTGCATTTCATGCTTGATTTTGGTCAGCACTGAATATCTTTAAAACCAAAGAATTATAGAGCTTAACACAAACTTCTTAAAATTGCGAAACAGGCTCTGACAAAAATGTAAATTGGCCATTCAAAAAATAATAATAAAAAACGGAACGTCTAAAACATTAATGAGTATCTTGAAATATGAAATTTCAGAAAGAGAGTTCACACCATTCAGATTTCATAACTTTTACTTATTAACAAGAATGATGTTTCAGAGACCACCTTGTCCATTTTTAAGACAAGTATCAATACATAAATTATGTTATTTTTGATAATTATTTATTTAATAAGTATTCTGTTATAGATTTGTTATCAACGATCTTATATATCATATTTTTATATACATTTTTCTTAATGTTAATGTAAGTACCTTGAAATCAAAGTGTGTTTATATTAGAATGTTATATTTCATCACCTTAAAAAAAAAAGAAGTAAATACTATATTTATAAATAGTTAACTGAATACCTTTATCAATACTCTGAATATGGCAGTAACACAGCTAAAATAAATAAAAAATAAATCAATATTAACAGCACATAGCAACTATTTCAAATTAAATAGGTCGATTTTATACAGATTGATCCCCACGTATTATTTATGCCAAAAAATTGATTTGGGAATAGAGGTCAATAATGCCCTCATGGGCTACTATTTCCTAATATATCATTTTAAGAAAATATCTTGTGCATTCCCTTGAATTATATTCTGGAAAGTAAATTTCTGAGAAGAATAAATAATAATAAGAAAGGAGATAAATAGAGAAAGATAAATGATTCAATTTTATATAAATGTAATAGTTTGTTACTCTTACCTATTTTTGGCTGGATTACTGTAAGAAGAGCACGTGTTCGGGCTGCACCAGTGGTAGTAGCCCCAACTACATCAGGCCGCAATTGAAGAACTTTGTATCCATCGCTCATATCATTCAATTCATCCAAGTCATTTTGTTTTTTATTTAACTCATCAAGAAACCCTTCAATTTTTTCTAAACCTTGCTTACAAAACATATCTGCCCAATTTTTATACAACTTCCATCTTTCAGGTATTGATAGTTTAAATAAATTGTCAGGATGTAGTTGAGTAATATCGATAAAATTATCAATCTCTGAATTAATCCTATTTACCACCTTCTTCAGAAATAATTCTTTGTCTGCATACTCCTGTAGAATCTCTACTACATTTAGTAACATATCTTGTCCTTTCGATTGTAGGTGTTCATTATAAGCATAAATATTATCAATTTTCCTTCTAAGGTCACAGAGTTCATTTATGAGGCCAGTTATACTCAGAAGGAAAAATGAACTTTGACGTTGGTTAGGTGAAGATGAATATTTGTATTCCAAACTATCTAATTGAAGATCTTCCATTAATGCTTCATTGTTATCACACTCATCAAAACCTCCAAATAACCATTCTTCAAAAACATTGGATTTAGATAAACATTGCTTTTGAGTGGTTGTCAACACATCACCGAGAGAACCAATACTAAGCACTGCTTTTTGATCATTAATGATAGCAATAACTGTCGACATTTCAGCAATCTGTGATTTTAGGGTTTCAATTTGATTCTTAATTACTTTAATTTGATCTCTTAACACTGGTTTAGTATTTATCATTTTAACAGCATTGCGGAGACAACAGTCTTTGACAAGCTCATTATTTGACTGGCTTCCAAGTCTAACTATTTTCTTTCCATCTTTTATTAGTGATTCTAGAATTTGGTCAACAGCATTATTTCGGTAACAAATCACTAAAATAGGGGATTCGTCTTTTTTCCAAACTGAACTATTATTTAGAAGAATATTGATTATTTTCAAGCCTAAATAGGACTTTCCAGTGCCTGGAGGTCCTTGGATTATAACAAACTCTTTAGTTAGTGCTGCTTGCAAGGCTGATATCTGGAACTCATTTAACGCAAATATTTCAGGATATTCATAGGAGGTAATTTTATTAATGTTTACTTCATTTCCTGCAATCGAATAATTAGTTTCTTCGCTTACATAAACTGGTGGATTTATTTTAGTACTAGCCTGAATAATATAATCTTCCATTGGGAAAATATTTGAATCAATTTTTTTTATGGTTTTCAATACTTGAAAGTATGGGTTAAAAAATACTTTTGGTTCAATAATGGTGCACTTGGTATATTCTTTAAATTTAATAAGCTTATCCACAATCAATGCTGTAATCACAAAATGTTTATCTTCACTTTTTGGAGTTTTTTTGTCATCAACTAGGGCCAAATAGTATGTTTTGAAATCATCATTAGATATGAGGAGTAAGGATCCATGAATAAGTCTTTTCGAAGTGCGCCAATCCACTTTTTTCAATTTCTTATTATCAATTTCAAAACTAATCATCAAATTAGTTTTTCGACTACGCTTTATTAACCCACAATAAACTGCATCATACAAAAAAATATCTTTGATTCTAGAAGATTTCTTTTCTTTTAAATTGCTTTCATATTCTTGTAAACCAGAACGTAAATTAAAAACAAAATCTTCCTTGAGTAATTTAAAATGAATATTTAAATAATGTGAAGGACTTTCATAGGAACCTGTGATAATATTGGGTTGCAATTCAGGAACCACATTCATATCTTCAGGTAAAGGAAGAATACTTAGATTGGAAACATCAAACTGAGTGTTTGTCTCCTTTAATTTTTCAGAAATATTTGTGATTAACTCTTTTATATTATTAAGCATTAAATCAGGTATGAGGCCTATTCTCTCCAATTTGTCCAAAGAACTTGTAAAAAGCCTATAATAATCGTCCAAATTTTCAGCTGGAATAACATGAATGATTTCTGAATAAAACTTTAAAAGATATTCTAAATTTTTTAGCATATCTCTTGATGAACCTAATAAAATGCAAGGTATATAACTGTCTATATTTTCTATGAACTGCTGATTCAGAGAAAAAGAAAGAAAATATGTTTTTGTCAATGGGTCGTTTATTTCACAAATTCTATTTAATAATTCAAAAACAACAATCATATCATTGACGTTCCTATGAGTACAGAACAAATTTTTAAAACCATCTTTATTTTTCATAATTAAATATGCCAGTGAATCATCATCTTTAAGTATCCAACTTTTTATGAAGTGATTTGACAAATGTGATGTAAAATTATGGTTTAATTTTTTATTTCTCCAATTAGAATGACTTTGTTTTTTCTGACGATCAATTTTCTGTTCAATATTCTGCTCTTTGTCTTCAAAACTCAAAAGAGAGGATACTGAGGAACGTAGACTACTACACTGTGACCCTAATTGCTTTCTTTTATCTCCTGTCTCCTGAATAAAATCAAAATTTCTATATTTTGAATTAGCTAGATCATGCCGACTAGGGTGAAAATAATCCCGAGATGAATTATTTTTTGTTTTTTTATGTCTTTCAATGGTTTTAATAAATGGTTTATCTGTTATTACATTTCTGTTCAAATGAGAACCATCAATATTTAGTAGACTAAATAGTTCAGAAACAGAATTAGGATTATCCAATTTTTGCTTACGACGTAAAGAATGTGGTTTAACACACTTTTGTTTCAATATATTATTTTTCAATGATTTATCATTATTAGATTCCATTAAATTTCTGTTGGTTTGAAAACGGTCAAGATTTAGCAGACTAATTCGTTCCGCTATAGAATTTTGATTATCTTTCTGTTTATCACTTAAAGGATGAAATTTTGAATTGCTCTTTTTTGATGCAGTTTGCTTCTTTTTCATGGATATAGTCCTTTGGTTGGGAGATGATTTTAAAGTCTCAAAACAGTCCATTATCAAAATAACCTGAAATAAATAAGTAATTCTGATTTTATATGAAGAATAAATATTAGAAGAATGAGTCCCAATTCATAGAATTGGGAAGAAACTGGCAGAAATAACAATTTTTGGGATAGGGATTAAGTATAAAAAAAAAATATATATATATATCAAAACTCTCTCTCTACACACACACACACACACACACACAGTTTTGATATTTCTAATATCATTAAATAAAAAAAATCCATATATTGAACCTTGGTATTTTTAGTGTTTAAAAAGGAGGGATATAAATATTGAAATATCAATTAAAAATATGGATATTTCAATCTTTAAAAGAAGGGGAAGAGCATTAACATTGAGGTTCATAATAATTAATAGCAACAATTAAATATTAATACATTGCTGATCCCAAAAAACGTATCGTTTTATCAAAACTGGTGAACAATAACATTTTTTTTTTTTTTTTTAGAAAAAAAAACTTTATTCTGGGACTAAGTCCCTTCAGAATAACAATAATGTACAAAATAATAGAATATTACTGGCCTGAACGTTGAAACAATAAATAAAATTGATAAAATAAAATAAAAAGTAAAGAAAACCTTAGGTGCACAAGCTATATACAATACAGATAAAACTATGTACAGAGCATATAAAATTATGAACAAAACAATTAAAACTATGAATGAATCACTTGAACTATGAACAAAATTATATTTAAGGGTTGAACAACATAAACATACACTTTGAGAAATGAAGAACGAAAAAGAGATACAATGAGTTCATTTCATAAAGAAAAAACAAAAAAAAAAAAACTTTACTTGAATATATATATATAAAAATAAACAGTTACTTATAATTGAATAAAAAAAAAAAAAAAAAATGTATGTATTGAAATTCCTACGTCGATAGTAGGAAATGCATGTACTATCTCTTACCAAGTGTTATGATTATATGATTGCTACACAATACATATATAATATTAATAGTTAGCTGGTATCTGACTGTTTTTGGAACAGGAATTGGAATAGGAGGTTTTTGAATGTGTACAGGGAAGGGTCATGTCGAATTTTGATCGGGAGGGAATTCCAAAAGTTGACAGAGGGGGCTATAAAGGAATTTTGGAATGAGGCAGATCTATGAGAAGGGATGTATAGGTCAGAGGGTCGGGATCTTGTAGTGAGTGAATGGATTGAGGACTTAAATTGGAGAAGGTTGTAGGCATAAGAAGGACGATGATCGGTAATGATTTGATAAAGGAAAGTGCCAAGGAAATATTGTCTTCTTAAGGAGGGGAAGAGCCACCCTAACTCAGTGTAGTGGTGGGAGACACGGGAGCGTCTCGGGGTTCCAATTACAAATCTTACGAAGCAATTCATAAGTCTTTTGAGTCTATCACGCAGTTCCACCGAGAGGCCATCGTACACCACACAGCTGTAGTCAAAGTGGGGAAAGATGAGAGAGGAAACTAGGAGTCTACGGGTATTATGGGGTAGAAGATGGAGGAAGTGATGGAATAGTTTGAGGGTAGAAATTGCATGGCGGGATATATGAGAGATATGGTGATTCCAGGAAAGGGTTTGATCTATGAGAAAGCCTAAATTTTTAACAAAGGGATAGAAGGTGATGGGGTGGTTGTTTAGATAGAGTGAGGGAAATTGGTGTGGGATCTAAGAAGGGGCTTGGAACCAATGAGAATGGCCTGAGTTTTAGCAGCATTTAGCCTTAATCCATTTAAGTTGGCCCAGGCACTAATTCGATCTAGATCTTCTTGAATTTTGGCAAATGCCACCAATAACTCAGCGGGAGAAAAGGATAAATAGATTTGAGAATCGTCGGCATAAAGGTGGTGGGAACAATGGATAATTGAATCATTTAGGTCATTAATATAAGAACTGAAAAGAAGAGGAGACATGCTTGAACCCTGTGCAACTCCTGAGGATAAAGGAAGGTAGGCAGATAGAGGTTGATTAGGTATGGAAACTGCTTGGGTTCGTTGTGAGAGGAAAGACTGGAACCAAGAGATGGAACTATTGGAGAAGGATAATGATTTTAGTTTGTTGAAAAGGATGGAATGGATAATGGAATTGAAAGCTTTGGAGAAATCAAGAAGTATAAGTATGGTTAGTTTTTTGTCATCTATTGCAGTCTGGATATCACTAGTAATTTTAATCAGAGCAGATTGTGTAGAGTAGCCAGGACGGAAGCCAGATTGGAGAGGATCGAGTTGGTTGGATTGTTCAAGGAAGTTGGAGACTTGGGATTGCACTAACTTTTCTAGGGGTTTAGAAAGATTGGAAAGGATTGATATTGGGCGGAAATCTTCGGGAGAGGATGGATTAGGCTTTTTGTTTAAAGGAAGGACAATGGCTTTTTTCCAAGAGGTCGGGAATATGGAATTCTGCAGGGAGAAATTGTAGATAAAAAGGAGTGCTGGGAGGATTTCAGGGAGACATAATTTTATTAGTTTGATAGGAATGCCATCTGGGCCTACGGAATTGGAACGGGATTTCATTATAACGGTAATAAGGTCTGTGGGAGAAATGTCGGAAAAATAAAAATTATTGTCGTTAAAAGGTACCTCTGGAGAAAAGCCGGAAGGGGATGGTAAAGAAGAGGTGGAAACCGATATAAAGTGGGAGTTTAGGTCATCAGGTGATATTGGGAAAACTGAGGAAGGGGATCTAGAAGGTTCACAGAGGGAAAGCTTACGAAGTAGAAGCCATTTTGATTTGATATCAGGAGCTGAGGAAAGGGCTTCGTGAAAGTAGTTCGCTTTCGCTTGTCGGATCCTTGTCTGAGTCGTGTTACGAAGCACTCTGAATATTTGATAATCATCTGCAAGCCTAGTACGTCTGAAGCGTCTGCGTGCAGCGTCGCGTCTCTTCTGCAGATCCTTAATTTCCTGACACATCCAAGGAGCAGGACGATGACGGAAAGTGGAGGTTTTGAGAGGAGCGTGGGTATTGAGTATATTGAGAAGATTGGTGGTGAGAATATCAACCATGGTGTCCACAGAGGAGCAATGATATATTCCATTCAAATCCAATGTTACTAGATCAGGTAATATTTTTTCTCGAGTAAGGGTATCCAGTGCGGATATTATACGTTATTTGTATCAGATCATGAGTTGAAAGAAAGAATACTGGCAATTGAGAGGCGGAGAGGAGGTTTTGTGCTGAGTCGATGATGTAGAAGTCTAGCCAAGTGTCAGATCTGCTGGTGTGGTGGGTGGAGGAAAAAGGAACGATGAATAGGTGAAGTGAGAAAAACAGATTTTCTAAATAGGATTTGTCATTGGATTTTGAGAGGAAATTGGTATTGAGGTCACCGGAGATAATTATTCTGGGATAGAGGGGAACGAAGTTGAATAGAGTTGATTCGAAGGACGGGTCAAATGGCACGAGAGGAGGGCGATATACCACGGCGTAAAGGATAGGAGAAATATTACTGAGAATTTCTACTAAGAGGTATTCTACATGAGGATGATCGGAAGATGGGGAGCAATCGAGGATTCGGGTCTTTAGGCTATTGTGGACAAACATTATTACTAGGAACTAGACAAAAAGTATGGTACTGTCACTCTTTTTATAAGTCTTCCTGCATAAATTACTAATGTCATTTCTGGAATAATTTAATGTAAAATTATTCCAAATTGTTGACATCAAGAAAGACAACAATCAATTTTAAAAAGAACTGCATTGCTCACTGACAAATGGAGCTTACAGAGTGGGCAGCTTACAATAACCTATTTTAAACAATTATTTTGTCAGTGATACCACATCGAAAAATATTGTACAAGTGTCCTGGGAATTTCAAACAAACTTTATGTTATTTATTTTTGCTTTTGCTATGACTGGATTTTTAGGTTATTATATACCAATTGATTTATTTTTTCGTGCAAAATGAGAAAAAAATATTGACTATGGTATTACACGAGTTATAATCTGAGATGGGCAAATGCCAAAGTCAATACTGAGTCCCCAGTATTTTACTAACTATTTCTGATTAAATATTCCGATTCTGATTATGGTACTCAGATATTAACTTTCCTGAATCTGAGTATTTTACTCAAATAGCTGACCTGCCCCACTTTGAGTACTTTACTCACATCCTGTTATAAATTATAGTTTTAAGTACTATATACAATTAGTTAAATATATAAATTATATTAATAAATGAGCCATTATTCTAATTACATAAATATAGACTTTTAATTGCTTAAGTAATTAAAGTGAATATAATAAATAACAAATTTAGAATTTTTTTTCTTTTTTTAAAAATAATATTGACATTATTAATATTGTCGTTATACGCATACTACTATTTAAAATTTTCATATACAGTTTTTTATGTTCTTAAAGACTTAATTTTTAAAAATAACCTCCATTTTGAGATAATGCCACTGTGTTTTAACTTATTTCAGTTTTTCAGATTTCTTTCATATGAACCTAGATTTATTTTCAGAGCCATAGTTTTTGAAAATGATGTATATTTTGAGATTACACCACCGACTTTTAACTTATTTTAGTTTTTTTGGTTTCTTCCACATGAGGCTCTATTTATATTTTTTTGGAGCCATAGTTTATGAAAATGATGTCCATTTTGAGATTATGCCACCACGTTTTGACTTATTTGAGTTTTTTAAATGTATTTCATACAAGAGTCTATTTCTATGTTTTCGGAGCCGTAGTTTTCGAAAATGATATCCATTTTGAGATAACGCTACTGAGTTTCGACGTATTTGTTTTTTTTTATTTTTCCTATATCAGGGTCTATTTATATGTTTTCAGAGCTGTAGCTTTCGAAAATTGTACTCATTTTATGAATACGTCACGAGGTTTTGACGTCCTTGTGTTTCAGATATTTGTTTAATACGATTAGATTATGTTTGTTAGAAAAGAAGATAATGATCTCAAGATCATTTACCAATGCCACCTTTCTGATTATTTGTGATCTTGTATATGCTGAGAAAAAACAAAACAATTACCATTATCATTTAAAATTTGTTGCAGGGATTCATA